GACCTCGTGAGCCCTCCGACAGGGGGACGAGAAAAGTTTGCGCTCCAGGCCCACGGCGGCCTTGCCGAAATCAAAGAGAGGGGGTTCGGGCTTCTGGTGATGAAAAGGCCTCGCCTTCCCAGTCACAGTGCCTCCCTCCCAGCAAGGGGCAGGACAGCTGAGATCACCGCTGCTGTCAAGTGGACTCCCGAGAAGAGGAGGAGAGGGGGAGCGAGGCGGCGATAGAGAGAGGAGGACGAACACGACCAGGGCGGGCGTGCTTCAGAGGGTTGCTGCGCGCCTCAAAGTCGCTGTGCCATGGGGGATCGACGATGGGAAACGAAGAGGACGGCTTGAAGCTGGAGGGGCACTCTTTTCCTGGCGGGTCGGCGAGGTAAAAGGCGAGGGTGCGGCACGAGGGGGCACAGCGTTGGGATGTGGCACGAGCGAGGCAGACATGGGGGACGGAGGAGGAGACGGAGGAGGAGGAGGAGGAGGAGGAGGAGGAGGAGGAGGCGGAGGCGGAGGCGGAGGAGGAGGAGGAAGAGGACGAGGAGGAGGAGGAGGAGGAGGAGGAGGAGGAGGAGAAGGACGAGGACGAGGAGGAGCGGGAGCAGGAGCGGGAGCAGGAGCAGGCGTTGAAGGAAGCGGAAGAGGCGGAGGAGGAGGCGGAGGGGGAGGAGGAGGCGCAGGAGGAGGAGCGCCCACAGCCGTCTCGGCTCGGGCCGAGGCCGCTCCGGCCCAGTCTCCTCCTCTTTTCTTTTCCCCCCCTCCCCCCCTCAGTCGTGCAAGGGGGACACTCCGGAGACGGCCGAGCAGATGAAGACGAAACCGATGGGCACACGAGCATGTCCTCAGGCCCTCGCGGATCCCTCGGGTCGGGCGCTGGGCCCCCCCCCCTGGCGGCGCTCCCAGCGCCGCCCCTGGCGCGCCGCGTGCGCCAGTGCGGGGGGCGCGGCGCCGATCCGAGCATGCTGCGCGCGCACGCACGCACGCAGGAAGCCGCGCCTAGACAGCGTATCGGCAGAAAGTCCACATGATACGACGGCCAAGGAGAAGCGTGAAATGTTGCAGCGCAAAGGCAAGCGCGCGGGAAGTAGTGCAACGAGAATTCTGCGCGGACCTCCGAACGCTTACCAGTGAGCTGGGTGACGCGGCTGGCCCGGGCGAGCGCTGCCCAAACGACATGTGGTCGCATACCCTTCCAGCGCGTCGGCCCCTGTGTGGCCGTGCACGCCGGACCCCCGCACGTGCATCCAGCGCGTGGTTTCCAAATTTTCACGCGTGGGCCCAGCAATCTGTGTGCCCATGTGTGATCATCATCGGCATCACCATCATCAAAGGCCGCCGCGCGCTCAGGCCATTGATGGAGCAGCGGCCTCCAGTCACCGCCCCCTTGCCATGCCCAAAAAGCAGGGGGCCGCTTGACGACACCCCGCACACCGCCAGGCCGCCATGGCCGTGCTCCGGAGCGCGGGCGCCGCGCACCTGCTGAGCACAGGACTCGCTACGCTGACCCTGAACTACTGGACGCTGAGCTTCAACTTCAACATCATCACGAACACAGAGGGCCAGCACAGGCACACCACGCGGCCCATGAATTGCCACAAGTGGAACAATTGCACGCTGAACGTGACTGGCCACATGGACTACCCCACCCAGAATGCGAAGGACTACTGGAAACTGAAAATCAACTCCAACATCATCACGAACATAGAGGGCCAGCACATGCAGGATTACAACACGCTGACCCTGAACGACTGGACGCTGAATTTCAAATTCAACATCCTTACGAACACAGAGGGCCAGTACGTGCAGGACTGGACGCTGAGCTTCAAGTTCAACATCTTCACGAACACAGAGGGCCAGCACAGGCAGGACTACGACACGCTGACCCCGAACTACTGGACGTTGAGCTTCAATTTCAACATCCTCACGAACACAGAGGGCCAACACATACAGAACTACACCACGCGGCCCCTGAGTTGCCACCAGTGGAACGATTGCATGCTGAACGTGACTTGCCACATGCTGCTTCAGACGACGCACAAGACCAGGCTGAATGGCAGCAACAATACGGACACCTACACGATGAGGAAAGAGCTCCCAGGGATCATAGCCATCACGCAGGAGTTCGAAGGCTACAAGTACACCCTGGACTCCCCCCTCAGGAAGAGCGACACCCCAGAGGACAAGAAACGCCTGCAGGAGATAGGGTCGCCAGCGCCGCCCTTCGCGCTGGCGATCTTGGAAGGACTGTACAAGTGCGACGTGGGCGGCTCCATGGAGGGCGCCATTCGGAACCACCTGCACCGAGCGGAGACCGAGGACATCGAGGCAGAACGCAGAGGGCCAGCACACCCAGCTCGCGAAGGATTACTGGATGTCCCAGGGCATCTCGACCACATCTCCGACACATGCCGTGCAAATCAGACTATGATGTACGCAGGCATTAAGATCCGCCAGTGCACTACCGACGCCCCGCATCATTTCGAGGACCGCCGCTATCATACATGGGTCCATTTCGGATGGGGTCGCGGGGCACACACGAGCAGCTCAGTAAGTCGCAGCATCGCAGTATCCAAGCGCCAAAGCCGCAAGACAGATATCGACAAGGTACGGCACCCCCCCACAATCTGACCTACGGGGCGCGGGCGCCGTCGAGCTTCATCGAGGCCAGCTCCGCTCTCGACTCGCTGCTGCGTATTCCCCACCGCGGCCGAACGGAGCAGGTCATTACCAACGCTGGAAAGCAGGATGCCGCCGACCATGGAGTTGGGTACCGCAGGCACATACCGACATCCCTATTCGCGTCATGCCCATCCTGTTCACGGACCTCAACCAAGGGCCAGGACGACGATCACGACAGCGCCGCACCGACAACGCAATCGGCAGCTACCAACCCAGCGACGAGACCGAGCTCGGACGCGTGATTCACGACAAGTTCCTGACGCACCAGCCGACCGCCATCAACATGCACATCGACGTCGGCAATACCTACTACGGGCACAACAAAGCCAGATCAAGCATCAACTATTTCATCGGCCACGACAACTTCATGGAAATCGTGAAGCACGCGAAGCTGAATTGGAAGATCCACACCAAGCTAAGTAGCCTACTACATGTTGCCGACCACATCCCCATGATTATGCAGATCAAGATGCCTGTCAGCGGCGCCAACATCACGAACAACAA